ACCCAGAATCCTCTCAGACTCTTTAACCACTTACTTAACCTGCCCTGCCCTGATGCCAGTGATCCTAAGATGAATACCAACTGCACTGCTCACCTCCAGCTTTTTTCAAACTGTGCATGTGCAATATAATTTCATTTTTAAGGAAAAGAAAATCTGATATGTTTAACCCTTGTTTTCTCTTCACCAATATACTTTTATTTGTTTATTTCACTTTTAGGTGTCTATTAGGTACAGTATCTATCACCCTTTAATTAAATGTATTTGAGAGATTTTGCTGTTAGTGAGCATGCTGCTGAGTATCAGCAATCACAGCCTTTTAGAATTGTACCCTTTATTTTACATTGACCTTTTTAGTTCTTTTTCACAAAATTTGTTACTAACCTGTTTCTCGAAGACTGTCACTGTCCTCCTCACAGTTCAGAATGCTTCCAAGGCTTCTTTGATCTGCAAACTTTGAAATTGTACCCTCTACACCCAAGTCTAGATTACTAACATAAATCAAGCAAAGCAGCGGTCCTGCTATCGACTCCTGGGGAACCGTATTGTGTATCTTCTCGTTTGAAGGATAACCATTCTCAACTGTTCCCATTTAGCTGTTAATCTCTCCTCATACTCTGTTTACATCAACCTGACAGTTGGGAAAGTTGCTACCTTTACAGTAGTAACAGCATAGTCTCTGATGGACATAGAAGGTAGCCAGCCTGTACTTGATGGCTATCTGCAAGAAAACCCACTCCCCTCACTTTCCCTCTAGCCCTGGGTATTTTCTTATCCTTAGGTATTTATCCAATTCCTTTTGGAATTTGGAATTGGCTAAGTACCCAAGGATAAGAAAGTGAATTTGCCTCCAACACATTCACAGGCAGTACAGTTGATGGGATAGATAAAACGAAATTGTTCCCTCTGGTGGAGAAGTTCAAAACAAGCTGATCTAATTTTGTAGGTCAAGAGCTCATCCATCAGAAAGCACACCTTCACACAAGAACCTCAGAACTTTCTTTACAGTTAATATGTGGATTCTGAGGAAATAAAGACTGAGCTTAATAGATATTTTTTAATAAACATATTGAGAAAGGTGAAGAAAGGCAGTTAAATGAATTTGGACTGCATATCAGCCAAGATCCAATTGAGTAGTGGTCAAAGTCAGAAGTCACCTGACGAAGGGGCTACGCTTTGAAAACTTGTGATTTCAAATAAACCTGTTGAGCTATAACCTGGTGTTGTGTGACTTCTGACTTTGTTCACTGCAGTCCAACACCAGTACCTCCACATCAATTGAATAGTAGAACAAGTTTAAGGGATTAAACAACCTCTTCCTGTTATTACTATGATGTAGTAGTTTCTGCTGGGGACATAAAGCTGAGGGAGCAACAATTGCTACCTCTGCGTATGCACAGAGAGATCTCAGAATACTTTACAGAATAATGGATGAAAATCAAGGAGGGATGGGAAAGGAGAAAAATGTTGACACTGGGGGAGAAAAATGGACGGTTATAACTGAAAGATCAGGCACGTAGAACAGAAAGAGCTGAGAAGTCATATCCCACATGTGGCAGGCCCTGGAATTCCCTCCCTAATGGCATTGTGGAACAACCTACAGCACATGGACTGTAGCGGCTCAAGAAGGCAGCTCACCACCACCTTCTCAAAGGCAACTAGGGACAGGCAACAAAAGCTGGCCAGCCAGCGATATCCACATCCCATGGGTGAATAGGATAAAAAGGTCCTCATGGTCTTGTAACATCGGAGGAGCTTTGCTAGGCAGTGACCTTGAAAAGATCTTCTGGAGTTCTTAATCAACTATAGTAAGGAAATAAATGCAGTTTGGCAAGGAAGAGGACTCTGAAGTCACAAATGATTGGTGTAACTGCCAAAGTGGGACACCAATTGTAGACAAAGGTTGAGAGAATTGAACACAACATAATGATAGGAATGCAACTGAGAGAGGGAATAAAGAGAGAAAGTAGGAGTGAAAGACGATAACTAGTAATATGCTCTGTTGAAGGTTCTTTGGGAAGTAGTCCATAGTGAGAGAGGATCGGAGAGAGAGAGGTGGAAGCCTGCAGGAATTGGTTGAAAAATCAGGAGAAAATGTGAATGGAAAGAAGTGTAAGAGGGCATGGAAGTGAGTATGGTCAAGGCAGAAGTGACAGCACAGAACGGAAATGCTTGACAAAGGTGGGGGTCCATGGATGTTTGTTCAATTTTATGACCTTACACTGACGGAGTATTTCAGTTAAATGGAAACTTTCTCTTTTAGCTTTTTCTACACCACTCACTGCTCAGTAATGGGGAGGAAATCTCTTCCACCAGTCAACCGGGAATGTGTTGGGGAAAGACTTGTCTTCCCATTTCTTCTCCCAACGAATGAAAGTATCTTGCTTCACTCTGTGTGTCTGCACAGGAAAATTGTGTCAGAAGCAATTCACTACCCCATATTCTCCAACTGGAGAGCTTAGAGAAGGAATTCCCTCCCTAATAGCATTGTGGGTTAACCCACAGCAGGTAGACTGCAGTTGTTCAAGAAGGCAGCTCACCTCCATCTTCTCAAGGGCAATTAGGGATGGGCAATAAATGCTGGCCAGCTAGCGACGCCCACATCCCACAAATTAACTTCTAAAAAATGTCTGTTGGGGATCAGAGCTTGATACTTGTGGCAAAAACCAAAAGATTGGGCCCCATATGGTTGAATAAAAATGTAAGCTTAATTCACAGAACAATGATTCTGCTATCACTTGTCATTCCCTGAAACTGGTTCTTACACATTGCCTTTATTCTTTCTCCAATGCCCTTCCCTTTTTGTCTATGTTGCTCCCTTTTTGTCTCTCTCATTTGCTCTTTCTCTCCTCTGTCTTCCCCAACTCTTTTCTCGCACTTCCTCCCCCTCTTATTTTGTATATCTTTGTTTCTGTTTTGCTGCTTCAACCTTCTTTTAGGTGACAGTACATGTTAAGAAAGTTTAATATATCTCAGGTTATTCTCCTCACTTGAAAAGCAATTTCTTAGTGAAAACAGCACAGGCAGTGGGAGAGAATGAGACTGAGGGTCACCAGCAGCATGGGGAGTGGGAGAGAATGAGACTGAGGGTCACTAACAGCATGGGGAGTGGGAGACAATAAGACTGAGGGTCGCTAACAGCACAGGGAGTGGGAGACAATGAGACTGAGGGTCACTAACA